ACATGAAAGACTGGGCACAGTCCACAGTTGGGGACGGAGTGGGCAGGCCACATGTCTGTCAGGCAGGAGCCTTTTAGATTCTGCCCACAAGGAGAGCTTGGAGGAGCCTGGGACCCAAATAGGATTGTCCCTGGATGCCCGAGGGCCGAGGGGCAGTCAGAAATAGCCACCTGGAGGAGATGCCACCAAAACGCCTGTTTCTTGGGAAGTATGGTTAGAGACTGCCTGTTTAGGAAACCCCAAAAAGAACCCCAAAGAGGGAGAGTCAGCTTTGCACCTGCACCTGCCCAGCCAAAGAGGCTCGTGCCAGATCGCCATAGTGTCAGTCGAGGGCGCCTTTCCCACCCCACCTCACCTTCCTCCCACCAGCTCCAAACCAGAGGAGCCAGACAGCCTGCAGTGGGAGTGGGTGAGGCAGGGGACAGGAGCAAGGAAACAGGGAAGCAGCCACCCCACAGTTCCCTCTACAGGCTTCCTGCCTTAGGTGGCCCTGAGCTGAGGGAGGAGAGATGCTTGGCTTTAAGTGAAGTTTGGAGACATTTTATTTACACTGGACTGGATATTTTCCTTATTAAATAAATGAGAGTGTGACAGTGGCAAAAAGCCACTGGACAGCTGTTTTCTTTTCTAGGTGTGACCTTAGATGTAATGGAAATTGCCCAAGATTTCATCTGAGGTCAGGGAGGGAGAGGCTGTGTGGGCTAGAAATGACCACAAGCAGGTTTAGAGAGGAACAGTGGTGGGAAAGAGGGTGTTGTTTTCAGTCTGCACTGACACACTCTGCCTGGTGACCGGTGATGCTGGCCCCGTGGACATCTGTGGTTGGCCAACTCGGCAGCCCTCACCCTCCTTTTGGTCAGAGCACCCATCAATCAACAGAATACCAGGTGTGAACCAGAGATTCTGCAGCCGAGGTCTTTGGACGGCCCTTCCTGATGCTTGGCTGTTGGACTGTTCCTTTAGTTTGGTGAATGACCCAGTGTGTCTCTGGTAAGTTACTTTTTACTTAAATGGACCCAGTTGTCTCTGTTTCTTGTCCCCCACCACCTGATGGGCATGGCTGCCTTGGCTGTGAGGGGCCAGTGGGGCGGCATCATGCTATGCATTTGTCTTTGCTGGGCCCAGACACTCACCTGTGCACCTTGTGCCTCACTAATGACCTCTGACCAGTCTCTCAGACTTGGCCAGTGGCTGAGCCCTTGTATTTTATTTGCCAGCACATTTTTTAAATGGAATTTGAAAACCTTCAGGCAAGGAGTGCCCTCCACAGGCCCCAACACCCCCTATTGTCTCCCACCCAGTGGTCTCGCCCACTTAAGGCACCTGGTTGGTTCTCAGGGCCTGGTCCTGCTTCTCCCCTCCCTGCTGCTATCTCTAGGCTTGAGCTCTGCCTGGCCTCCTCAGCTGTAAAGGTAAGCTCAGCCCAGGCAGGTCACCCAAATCCTAGCACAACACTTGTATTTTATTTTATTTTATTAATTTATTTATTTATTTATTTGGCAGCTGGTCAGTACAGGCAGCTGGTTATCACAGAATCCAAACCTGTGACCTTGGTGTTATAAGGCTGTGCTCTAACCACCTGAGATAACTAGCCAGCCAGGTGTCAAATAGATAATTTCTAACAACCATTGAAAGAGAAGGTAGAATCTCTGCAGAACCTAATTTACAATCAGTTTTTCTGGTATGTAAATAGTAACGAGCTATTAAATTGTTAATCAGTCAAGCCTTTTGCTTTTGAAGACACTGTGTATTATGGAAACATTCACATGCACACAAAGTAGAGAGAATGGTGTCATGAGCCCCCGTGGACTCCTCCCCCAGCTTCAATAATCAGCAGCATTTGCTCCATCTTGGTTCATCTCTTCTTCCCCCCCCAGCCTTCCCACATCTCCCCATATGTTACCACCCTCCACAGCAAGCTAGGTCACTTTAAAGCAAATCTGAGAGGCTTCCAGTCTAGATGGTGGAATAGACAGTCACCAGCATCACTCTCTCCCACAAATCAACCAATTTACAACTATAAAAAAGCAACAACAGCCAAGCTGGGGATGCTAGAGTTCAGGGGAAGAAGAAGAGAGACCTACAGAGTGCATGAAGGTGGGAGAAGCCACGATGAGAGAAAGAAAAAAATGGTCCAACCATTTCATGCTATGGCCGCTTTAAGGCTGGAGCTGCTGAGCACATGGAGCAGAAGATGACAAAAGCCACAGCTGTGCCCTTCGGATGAAGTTGCTTGGAGGTGGCAGGGGAGAAGAGGGCCTTGGTGGCCCCCAGGCCAGGAAGACCACTCATAGGGTTCCATGGACCTGCACAGGAGCAGGGAGCCAGAACAACTAAAAAAAGGAGCCACTCAGAGGCCAGAGAGTCATCACAAGGGACCAGCACATGGCCTGTCCCATGGGAAATGTTTGCAGCACAGGCAGTGGGGGAGATGGGCCCACTGGGAGAACACTGGGGCACAGCAAGGACAGCTGATCTGCTCCCCAATCAGCGAAGGACCACTCAGAGGAGACTGGTCAAGAATATAGAATTGCATGGGGTGCAGTTTGAAGAAAAGACTCAGGCCCAGATCAGAATTTCTACACAACCCAGGTGCACTGGGTCTCTGGAGAGCCAGAAGTACCTATAAAGTCAACCATTAAAACATAAGCTGCACAAAAAGCCTTCCCTAGGGAATCAGCAGCAAAGCAGCAATTTATCTCAACCACACAGCTCAAGTATTGGTCTCCACAGGAAGTAAACAAAGTACAAAAAATTTGTTACGGCCCAGGCACACCGCCAGCACTTCAGGGCTCGCCCAGGGAACCAAGGTATGGAGCCAGGGACCGGGCCCCCTCCCACAACCAGGCACACCGCCAGTGCCAAGGAGCATGCGGAAAACATCACCTCCACATGGTGGTCCACCACAGCCACCACAATAACCACAGCTGCCATGAAAGTGGCTAGATGCCACAACCACCACACAGATCGTCTGCCAGCCACTGGAGTGCATCAACACAAGGAAAGTCACCAGCAGAGGCCAAAGAAAAGAAGAGGATGTCTCTCTCCAAAAAGCTCATTCTAGAGTGACAGAAGAAGCATCTGCTTTACAATAATATTGGGGGACCTGAACACACCTCTCAGCATTGGACCAATCATCTAGGCAATGAATTAACAGAGTAACCATTACTCTTTCAGAAGGAGAGAAGAAATCTAGGGTTATCAGAGGTGAGAGGGGGATGGGGAGGGATTGGACAAGGGGTATAAAAAATAAGTATGATTTGAAACAATATATATGCTAGTAATATTGATCAGATCAACATATCTTAATGTTGAACCCCCAAAATATGGATAATCAATTATGATTCAATAAAAATTTTAAAACCTAAAAAATAAATAAAATAAAATAAAGCAAATCTGAGATGCCATAACATTTCATCCAGAAACATTTATATCTTTAAGAGGTATCTTCCGGAGATATGATCTCTTTTTTTAATATAACTACCATTACCATACCAAAAAAAGTTTTCCCCAATTGTCTTTTTTTTATGGATCAAAAGAATTAATATTTTTTTTGATATTTAAAATATATTTTTAATCATCTCTTAAATGTCTCTTTATGAGTGGTTTACTTGAATCTGATTCAAACTAAATCCAGTGTGGAACTTGGTTGATATGTCTCCTAAGTTTCACTTAATCTGTAACAGTTCCCCTTTCCCCTTTTTTCTTTTTTCCTTGTCACTTATTTGTTGGAAACCCAGAGTGATTGATCCTGTAGACTTCACTATAGTCTGGATTTTGCTGATTGCGTCCCCATGGAGTTCTAACATGTCCCCCTGCAGCCAGCACTTCCTATAAACTGATAGTGGATCTAGAGGCTCCTCCAGGTCAGCTTCCATTTCTCTGGCAGGGACCTTCATGGGTGGTGCCTGTACTTCCTGCTGCCTCACATCAGGAGACTCTGACCATCTGGGTGTCTCCCTTTTTGTGTGTTGAGACTGCACATCAAGCACTGGTGTCACCTCCGACCTGCACTTGGCTGTTGCACTGATCCCCAGCAGGGCCACACTTCACTAGAGGGTTGCATTGTAGCACAGGGAATAAGGGATCATCACTTCAAGTAGCTGATTCTCACTATTTTTTAACTGCAGTCTCAAACAGAATACAATTTTATCTAGTTTATAAAAGTTAATATATGTACTACGACCTCAAAGCAATCCAACACTTGGATGGTTGTATAACATAATTTCATATTTAACTGTACTTATTTTTACAGCATTCATACTACTTATTCTGTCATCACACAGAGATTTCCACATTGTTATATACTTTAACAAAAATGGCATGTGAAATGAATATTATTTCTATTTTATTTGAGGGTTATTTTGCAGAACAACATACTAAAGGGAAAAAAGACATATGGCATGTATTAGTAGGAAAATGATTTCTGATAAGGGTTATGTAAAAAGAGTCATGGAACTGGGAATAAGGTGTTTCAGGCATGATGGCCAGGAGCGAATGTTATAAAATCACGGTTTTTCCTCTTGGCAACCGGTGAGCAGCAAGAGAGGCAGCAGCACTTAGCACAAGCAGCCGCTCCCGGGGACCAGGGCTTCAGGGGAGAGCCTTGCGGACAACCAATGGCTGGATCACGTTTCCAGTTTGGGTATTAAAAAAAAACACTATGAAAATAAAAATATTATTTTATCGATAGTGTGTCCTTCTACATATTTATTTTTCCTTGAAATAAAAATGTTCTAAAGTTACACTATTTTCCACAATGTTTATTTAATTCATCTCTCTCACTTAGGCAATAACATTTTACGTAGTCCTATTTCTAGTTCCTATCTGTTTAGTATTTAGATTTGGTTAGAAAATCTGATTATTCTTGATTTCACCAGGAAATTTATTTTTTAGCCTATTATCTCTTTCAAAAAAAAAAAAAAACGAATATTCAATTTCATTAGGCACTATGACTAGAAAAGCAAGCATTAGTTTGTAAAGAAAAATAAGAATACGGTCCTTTTAATTGTGAACGCCTCTACAGGATCTAAATCTGGTGCTCAAGAAAAAATGTTGCCTCTGATGTTTTCTTCCCATAATTACAGTGTAACAGAGGCCACCTTAATGTTCCCTCTTCATATTAGAAACAATAAGCTGAAACTGCCTCTCAGCACAGAGCCCTGGTGCCAGTACTAGAGAACATATATTCAAGAACTGAATTTGTAAGTAAACCACCATTTCCTTGTAAAAATGCATAGGGTAGCACCAGTAATTAAATACCAAGTCTAGCACAATGCATGAGGCATGAGGATTCAGAGCTGTTGCTTTTTAAACAGCTGTTTCCCCAAAGAAAAGGCAATTCCTGGTACACAAAAGTAAAACAGTAATCTTTTTACATCACTGTGCATAAAGACGTACAAGTCTCCCAGAACCTGGGAGGCCAGTCTCACAAGACAGCATCTAGGTTGATGGCTTTCCTCCTCGGGTGACCAGCGACACATGGACACCCAGCGTGTGTCTGCGAGCTGGTTCCACACCATCCACCCGGGTTTAGGGCCCAGGCTTACTTTCTGTTGACAAAACGCACGTGGATGGGCTCCGCTGGTGTCAGAAGCCCGTGGGTTTTTGCACGAATAGGTTTAGTCTGAGAAGATGTTTTGATCTCAAAATGTTGAAGCAACTAAGAATAAAAAGAGAGAGAAGGGTTAAAAATTAGGACAGCAGAAAATTCTCAGTGCTCCCTGAACGCTTCTCCTCCTCTTACTGAAGGGAGAGGAGCCAAGGCGGAGCACGTGCACGTCCACTTCGGAGGCCACCGGGTTGCTCAGTCGGTGTGATGCCGGCCACTAGGAAAGAGCACCAGGTCTTGTACAGGAGCCTGACCTGTCCCCTGAGCAACTGCGAAGCCAGCATGACAGATACGCAGGCAGAATGCTCCAGTAACTCAGGTTTTATTTGCCATCTCAACATTCTACCTCTATCGCTTCCATTGTAGGTCTGGATAAAGAAAGTATCAAAGGAGCAAGGAGAAATGGGGAACAAAGTGGAATTCCAGGGCTCCTGCTGGTTCCACTTCGGACATGATGCAGACACGGCAGCAGGGGAGCCGGGGTGACAAGGTGAACCATCGAACAGACTCCGTCATGTTGAAACATTCTGGATTTGCACCTTTGACCCCATTTCTCAGTTCTACAGTTCAAAGGTAGAACCAGCCCTGCCTCCCTCCTAGGGCAAAACTGAAAAGTACCTAAATGGTGAGTTTTGAAGAACATCAAAGTACCCATCAGCCTAAAGCAATAATCTGCCCCACCAACTGGCCAGGGCATGATGTTCAAAGTCACCCCTGGGCCTAGGGAACAGAAGGCAACCTGATGTAAAGACTTCTGTCAAAATAAGTTCCTGGAGATGGGGAGGGCCTTGTTTTCAGCCCATTGGGACAGTGCAGGAGGCAGATAAACCACTAACAGCATGGTCTTCTACCTGTGACCCAGTCTGTCCCTGCCCTGCACTGACTCTCCAGCCTCACCTCCCAGACAAAGAAGCTGGGAGGGCTGGGGCTCCAGAATGGAGTCAGGCAGGGGTCAGGGGTCAGGCAGGGCTCAGGGGTCAGGCCTGCAATGGGGACATGTGCTGAACTCATTCCCTTGTCACTGGATTAAAGAACCAAGTTGAATGGTGTGTCCTCAGGCAGCTCCATAATGTCGGCATCCAGATGGCTTCATCTAAACACCTAACCTCTGACCTTCTGCTCTGACCTTGCAGAATTACTTGATCATTCCCATGCAACAGAAGGAGGACTTGCATGTAGGTCTTTCTTCCTTTCTGAGTGGGCAGTATGTGCTCACTGAAAAAATTTAAACTATACAGGAGACACAGAAGCAAAAAAACAAAGCTCTCTCTCCCACCTCGAGTCTCCACCTCCCAAAGAGCTGGGGTGTATCTTCTAAACATTCTTCTCTGCAATACAAATATCTTGTTCCTGATTTTACTCTTCTGCCCAGTAGCCTATCAGCATGTTTACTGAACTGCTGGGTAGACACCACTAATTTGGTTAAGGAAGGCCTTCTGTTGCTGGTGTGCCAAGAGATTTTCTTCATGAACAGGTGTTTGATTTTGTCAGTTATCTTTTGGGACAGCTGTATCATTTTTCTCCTGAATTATACTGACAGAGTTTCTCGTGGTGGACCATCCTTGCATTCCTGAATACACCTGATTGGGTACGGATGTGTTTCTGTTTTACACATTGTTAGATTCAGCTAGCCAATTTTTCATTTAGGACATTTTTCAATTCCATTAATAAATCGGATTGGCCTATAGGTTTGAATATCAGGTTATGCAAGTCTCATAAAATGAGACTTCCTTTTTGTGTTCTCTATTTGCATATTTACTGGAGGTTTGATAAAACTTGCCGGTAAAACTGTCTAGATCCAGAACATTTGGGGGGATAGATCTTTTTATCATGGACTCACATCTTAGGTCTGTTCTCTTTCCTTTGAGTCAATTTGGGTAATTTACATTTCTTCTAGTTTGTATGTTTTAAGTCTTCAAATTTATTGGCATAAAGCTGTTTGTGGTATTTTCTGGATTTAACAAAAATCATCTACTGCATTTGTAGTTGTGTCTCCTCAGTTATTCCCAGTACTATTTGTCTGTGCCTTCTCTCCTTTTTTGTTTTTTTTCTCAGCAATTATAAATAATGATGTTCTTTTTCTATAGTTGCACAGGCAGAAATGAGGACTCTTTAAGTAAAAACTTCAGCAGGTATATCTGTATGTTAACAGCAGCAAACAAACAAAATCCCCAAACACCCCATTTCTAATCCTCTTCCAACTCCACGCATCTGCAGGAGACTCCAGGCTGAGCAGCTTCTGCACAAGGCTGCAGGCTGCACCCCAGCTGCTCCCTCTTGCTCTTGGGAGTCTCCTCTGGTTCTTCGGGCAGTCACAGCCTAGGAGGCGGTAAGCCTCCTGCTGCTGATTAAACTTGACTCTCAGTAGAAAATGCCTCTGCCTGACCAGGATGTGGCTGCAGAATGTACAGCAGCGTTTTAGGGGCTAAGCCCTCCTGAAAACACTCCCTGGGCAGACCCCTAGTGTAGGTGCCTGGAGAACAGTAACACCTTCTCCTTCTTTGGCACAGACTCTGTGCATCAGCTCCTCACACAACTATGAGGCAGGGATTTGGCCCCTTTTGTGGACGAGGTGACAGGCTCAGAAGGGCTGAGGAATCTGCCCAAGGTCCCACAGCCAGTGAGCAGCAGAGCTGGGATTGGAGCCCACTTGCCCTAAGCCCTTCCACACCACACAGAGCTGCCGCTCCCATGGACCCAACTGGGCTTGGGCCCTGGGGGCCAAAAGGCCCGCCCTTTCCAAGGACAGCTTCACTGGCAGCAGTAGCCGCTCGGCCACCCACATCCCTCTTGGTACCACCGGCCCCACCCAGCAGAGCCTCATTGGCCACTGTGCTTCCCCCGCCAGGGCAAGCCCTGGGCCGGTTGGGCGCTCTCCCCACACCTCCTTCTGTGCCTGCTCCCCAGCCGGTAGCACTCACCTTCTCCAGCTTTTGGTGACTTCCCCGGGCCTGACCACCCAAATCCCTCTCTCCCTCCTCCGAGCCAGCCAGGCTGCCCTGTTCCTTTACACTCCCTTAAACCACCTTCCATGAAGGTCCCAGGCCCTCAGTGCTACACTCTGAGATCCCTGCGAGTCTGGACAAAGGCCCCTGCATACGACCCCATCCTGCACCTGCCACTGCGTGACTTGGCAAGTGACTCCAACTTTCTGAGCCTTGGTTTCCTCGCCAGCAAAAAGGGGATATTGTGTCACCAGGCGATCCTCATGTTCTTCCTATACTCAGAGTCAATGACAGCAGCTCCAAAACCTTGGGCCAAGGTTTCCCATTGCTGAATAGGTTACTGTTTGTCTTCCCAAACTTGCAGGGGAGGCTAATGGGTAGAATTTTCTCTGATACAGGCTTTTTCTTTTATAAAATTTCCTTCAGATGTTATACAGTTCATGCGATAGCCTGAACTCAGATGTAGTACAAACACAAAATTACATGTTTTAATGTTTAAGGATTAACATGGAAGGTATTCTCTAACAAAACCTAAGACCTCTTGATGTTTCACAACCTAAAAAGCTTTAGAGCAACTGCTCCGTATAAAAGGCTAATTCAAGTAAACAAAGGAGGCAGTAAGAGGGTCACTATGGATTGAATTGTGTCCTCCAAAGTTCCATGATTAGAAACTTGACCCCCACTGTGATTGTTAAGTGGGTGGGAAATCCTATTATGGTAATGAAAGGTGGGGCCTTGAAGAGGTGATTAGATTGTGAGAACCATGCCCTAGTGAATGGATTAATCCACTGATGGTTTAATGGTGGTCACAGGTGGTTCTGATGGCTTTAAAAGGACAACACGAGAAGATCACTCTCTCTCTGTTGAAGCCATCCACCATGTGACACCCTGCATTACTATAAAGTCACCATCAACAAGGCCCTCACCAGATGTGTTCCCTGAACTTTGGACTTCCCAGCCTCCAAAACTGTAAGCAATAAATATTGTTTCTTTATGAGTTACCCGGTTTCAGTATTTTGTTATAAGCAAAAGGACTGATACAAGGGTCAAGTGTGACTTCCTTTTGGTGGCCTGCTGGGGATGCCTGAGAGGCAGCAACTGACCTACAGAAACAGCCATTAGAGCTGTCGGGGGAGCCCCCACACCCCACCCTGTCCACTTCCCTAGACCGCCGAGGTTTCTCAGAGTGTGGCCCATGTACCACTGGTGTCAGTGTCAGCTGGGGGCCCCAGCCTGGGAGTCTGTACTTTAAGGAGCTCCCTGGTGGCTTTTATGCTCCATAATGTTTGAGGATGACTCACTTGACATCCTCCCATTCCCCTCTCTCTGGAACTCCCTGTGTGATGGAGGATTGCTGAGCCCTGGGCCCCTACAGCCTCCCTGTGACACACACACACCACAAAGGTCTTCAGTCTCCAACATCTCTACCTCTGCCCGCATGATTCCAAGGAGGAAAGAAACAAGGCAAGTGGCCATGGGGTTAAAGATGGTGACTGCCAGGAGTGGCATTTTAAAACCTAAAAGGAATCTAATGCAAAGCTCTTGCTTTTAGGTTTTCAAAACCACGATTTCTTTTTTAAATGAAAAGTCCAGTTGAGCCCAGTAACAGCAGCCGAGCCCACAGCCGGCATTCAGCTCCACACAAACCTGGATCACGACGAGGTGAATCTCCAGCTCTGCAATTCTCCGCCCAATGCAGCTGCGGACCCCATAACCAAAGGGGATGGACCCAAAATTGTCTACTCTGTCCAGGTCTCCTCTGCGCAGCCAGCGCTCAGGCCAGAACTCCTTGGCCCGGGGGAAGTTCTCATCCTCGTAGGATGTGGCGTAGTGGCACAGAGCCAGCTGGGTCTGAGGAAGCCATTTGTAACAGAAAAGGAAGAAAGAACGGGATCACGCCAGAGCACAGCCCAGAGCCCTAGATGGACAGTCCCTCTGGAGATGCTCCCCACCAGGCACCCACTTAAGGTCCATGAAGACCCAGGACAGCAGCTCCTCCTTCCCTTCACACTTCACCCTCCACCCCTGATGCCAGTGCAGCCACTGAGAAGACAATCCAAGACCTTCAGAAACTCCCCAGGAGGGGACCCGCTGCTTCCACAGGGCCTGCAGGAGAAGGGGGCATGGGCCTGTGGACTACAGAAGTGTCTGCTTCACTTCTGAGCAGTAAGATCACAGTCCACCTCCTTGCTCCTAAAGCCCCATCTACATCATAAAATACATGCAGAAGGAAACCTATTGATCTTTGCTTAGGGACAAGGACTTCCTGAATGAAGAAGCAGATTTCCAATTCAGCCATTACTGCACCATCCCGTCCCGCCCCCATGGCCACCAAACTCACGCCTTTGGGAATAAGATACCCGCCAATAACCAGGTCTTCCTGGGTAACCCGGCCATTCCCTGGCAGCACTGGAAACAGCCTGGAAAGAAGCCAACAGGGACAGGAATGGAGTAGTGACTTTTAAAATATCTTATTAAACATTTAGAAATTTAGATATATTTCCATTTCCATTAAAAATTCTAAAAGAGTAAAACATGGTGCAGTGTCAGCTAAAAAATTTGGCAAGACCTTTGTGGCTCCTTAGACAGCTCTGCCTAGCGAATTCTCTGAGGAATGTGAAAAAGGTTCCAAGGTCAAAAACATTTGCAAAACACAAAGCAAAGCCTTCAACATGCTATTGTGTTCCCAAGAGGGGAAATTCCCAGTTTCTGATATTTTCCGTGACCACTGGACCACTTTATCAAGGAATAGTTCATAGGACTCAGGGTGCCATGAAATACATTTTGAGAAATGCTACTTCAGCTATCGGGTTGTCTCAGAGAGCTGGTCCTAAGAAAACTCTGAATATAACCTTAATTATCAAACACCAGTAAACCACCCAGGCAGCTCCTTTTCTTTTTTTTTGTTTGTTTGTTTGTTTGTTTTTGCTTTTGTTTTGACATTAAACAGCAAGCATATAGATTGAGGATGCGATACAAATGGCAGCATCACTACCAAATCAGGTCTGAAGGAATTCTCTTAGTGTATACTACGGCAGGGAACCTTTGCTCTGAGTCCTGGCGTCTCCTCCACAGCAGAATGCTGTGTTTAGAGTCCCTTGACTTCACAGGGGTTAGGAAGTTCACTGGTCACCTAATCCCACCTCCCACCCAAACCATCCCCCCACCCAAGGCAACCCACCTTCCTCCCGCTCCAGCTATTCCAACTGTCAGTCAATCCCTGCCTGGGAGTAAACGCGCCTCACCGTGTGGCGTCTCCAATCCAGACTAAGATGTTCACACAAGAACCATAGCATTTTGTAAACAGGTCTGATAATTAGCCAAGCAGCTCAAAGTACTTTTCTGACAAATCAATCTTGCTCCACTTTATCTTCAGAGGAGCAAAGTCAAAAAGGGATGAATCCAGGAACATGGTGGGAAACACCTGAGGTAACAACTGGCTAAAGCAGGGACAATGTTACAGGACTGCTCCAAAGATCTCTAAGCAGAGCGATAATATTTCAACCCATAAGACAGAACAGCCTTTCTGCTATTCTGACAAGAGCAGGGAGGAAGTGAAGACAGTTCTGAACACTCCCTTCCTGAACAGTTGAGCTGCTGAGGTGAGTTGGAGGACTGGTTATGATAAAGAACCAGAGACTTAGAGGGCACATTTTGTTGACATGAATTTGGGTGAGCCTTTTACCTCAGGGTCTCCTTAAGGAGCGCTCTGACCAGTGGGACTTTGGGGACATCCGCTGCGGTTGGAACATGCCTTTCCCCCAAATTCTTGAGTATCTCCCGGTACACCATCTGCTGCACAGCCGGGTGCCTCGCCAGGAGATACACCGCCCAGGACAGCGTGAACGACGTCTGGCAGGAGAAAGCGGCAGACACCGTGGTGAGAAGGCCGAGGCCTTACACAGCAGGCAGCGTCACGCACGAATAAATGCAGGCGCGGAGCCCTCCTCAGGCAATCCTGCCGTAGCATGTGATGTCTTACCCAAACAAGAGTCTTTGCCGGAGTCCACGCCAGAAAAGCCAAACAAATATTTTTGGAAAGTAGCATCGACTCTATGACTCAAGTACTGCTGTCATGAAAAGCCAAAGAAAAAAGTATTTTGGAACTTTTTTCAACCGTTGGAGAGCAATATGTCTCCTCTTCAGTAGAGCCTGAGGGACACAGGGTCTATTGGTCAGGCCTGGAAGTTCTGCCTGGACCATCGTGTGACCTTCTCTTCCGGGGTTGTTGGTTTTTGCTAGAAAGAGGAGACTGCCCACCAGCATCCCACAAGCCCAAGATGGCTGGGCCAGCCTGCTCTGACCACCTAATCTAGAGATGGGGAGTGTTCAAAGGACTATTAGTGAGCCATTGTTCGCCTGCATTTATCACGCAAAGTCAACACAGAGCGATTGAATAGCTCATCTGTGCAAAGCAGTATCATTTTTTATGCCACTTTTCAGACTAAAGAATTACATTTCCTGTTATTGAGAATAACGCTATTTTATTCTCCTAGATCCCAAGATTTTCACTAAAATCAATACTATCATCTATGTAATTGTATTTCACTCCCTTACAAACATGGTATCCACAGTATAAATGCCTTTCTTTTATTTAAAAAAAAAATCTATCAAGTAGGCCATATTGATATAATTTCCCTGTAATAAGCACTACAGTTGTTCCTGGGCATCTTCAGGGCATTGGTTGCAGAACCTCCCCATGGGCATCCAAATCCTTTGTAGTATTTACATATAACATATAAACATCCTCCTGTATACTTTAAATCATCTCTAGATTACTTATAATAACTAGCACAATTAGATGCTATGTAAATAGTTGATGCACTGTATTTTTGTGTCATTTTTTATTATTGTATCGTTACTTTTTTTCAATATTTTCAATCCATAAATGGTTGAATCCGCAGACACAGAACCCACAGATACAGAACGCATGGATATGGAAGGCTGACAGTGTATATGTGGTAGGTATATCCATATAATGGAATGCTACTCAGTAATAAAAAAGAATCAATTACTGTATAGGCTACCACATGGATGAACCTCAGTTGCAAAAGAGCACATACTGAATGATTCTGTTTATATACATTTTTAGAAAAATGTGGTGGTTTCATAAATAATTGCATGTATCAACAATCTGTATCGAATTGTGAAGTTTAAATGGCTGAAATCTATTGTGTATAAATTATACTGCAATAAAGCTGATTTTTTAAAATGAGTATGAAGTCATAAGCATTTGTCTCCTGGCTTCTGTCCTAGGATGCTAAAAGGAAACTGGTCCCTTCTCAACTCCACTTCATTGTGATGCTCCTAGTCACCGCCAGGGGGCAGGAGGTACAAGTGTGTCCTAACAAGCTCAAGGCTGATTCCCTTCACTGTTCAAGGGTTGACTTAATTTAAGCAAATCCACACCATCCATCACATAGTTAATACAAATTTACATTGATTGTATCATTTAGCTTGCATTTAATTTATATGTTTTTTTGTTTTATTGTTACAGAAGATCTATAAGAATAGGGAGTTTATACATTTTTTTTTCTTTTCTGCGCTTAGGTGACACCATAATAAAAATAATGTCAACCCTGGGTTTTTTTTCTCCCTTTAGAAGGGATGTCTGTGCCTTTCCTTGTGGAAAGGAAAAGTACTTGTGGAAAGGAAAAGCGACCAGGTTGGTTGTTTAGTTTTCCCACCTGTTTAATGAAGCCAATGACCCCACCTTCGGAAGCTGTGAGACTGGAAGGGTGTTCATGGAAGTGTTTTGGAAACAGCAAAGCACCATGCCATTTTGATCCTTACTTCCAACTTTAGCACCCCACTCCAGCCCAGTGCTCCCCTCGTTTCCCACCAGAAATCTCACTCGACTGACTTGCCTTCCACCAGTTACAGAAAGCAAGAGCCTGCTTTTTCCTGTTCCACCACTTCCTTTTAGCAAATTTTAGAGCTTCTCTGTACCTATACCCACATATATATCATTTTCATGCATAAATACATATATCCTTTTACACATATGCTCTTGGAAGGCACTTGGCTCCCCATCCTCCTTGGACCACACCACCCCCAGCCAAGTAACCCATGCTAACAGCCTGGGGTGAACCCTGCAGTCTCTTCTCCGTGTCCACACAATCGCTTACAGATGTGCCCCTGCACATACAGGGAGGGGCGGTGCCACCATGTTTCACCAACGAGAGCACAGTTTACACACTTATCTGAATCTTCATTTCTCGCTTAGTAGCATGTGGAATTCCCTCCACGTCAACCAGCAGTGCTCTGTTTCATTCCGATACTGAACCCTCCTATGTCATAGTATATTATTCAGCTGCTAAACTAATGGATTCTATTCACTAGGATTTTATTTTACATTAATATATACACACATATGCATACATATTCTTACATCAAACTATTTATCAAAGTTTTCTTTCCTTAAACTCTCTTTAGTAGGTTTTGGTTTTAAAGTGATGCTGGTTCTATAAAACAAATTGAGGACAAATTAAACAAATTGCTGGCTTTACTGGAATATTTTAAATAAATAAGGTTTTTAATGTCCGTGCCCTCTTCATGTCTGATATCATGAAACAATAAACACAATGTATGCAAGCAAGGGATGATTTTTAAACGTTAAAACGTCATTACTTTGTGTGTATGGTAATGGAACTGTGGTTATGCTTTTCACAGAATTCTTCATGCACCTTAGACTCACATTTTATATGTATGTAGAGTTTTCTCCTGGAGCTTTTCAGCAGTGAAGCCGGCCTTTTGCTAGTACAAATGTGTATAGTGTGCTTAAATTATCTGCCTTAAAAGTATACAACTTCCAGCAGAGTATTAGGAAGGGATTCATGTGCTTTGTTTATTGGGGAAACAGACTCCCACAGACTCACCGTGTCGACGCCAGCCAGCAGCATCTCAGTGACATTGGCGTAGATCTCCTCCAGTGTCAGCGCCTGGCTAAGGAAGAGGTATGTGAGAAGTCCCCCGCTCACCCTCTCGCCTCGGTCCACTTGGCACTGTATGTCCCTCAACTTGTTGTCAACATGAATTTGGCCTGTTTGAAAACAGTATTTCTTTTGAAAGAAGTTTGGGTTGAGAATCACCTTTGCAATCTCAATTTCCTCTTCACCCTCCCAGTAACTTAACTAAACCAGTGGCAGGTGACAGAGGCTAAGGAAACCCAGAGTCATCTATCGTCACTGTGGGGCTTCATTCATACACTTGCTTGTGTAAATGAATGAAAGATTTAAGACAAGCTAAGTATTTCTTCCTTTTTGAAAACAATGTATAAGATATTTGCAAATGTTTGCCTTACCAATCCAGTGGCCACAAAAGTTATTTATATAATATGGAGTAACAAGAACGCAGATTCCTTTTCCCCCCACTATGCTTCCCGCAGAGGAAATGAATCGATGAGGGGAAGAAGCCTTGTGTTATTGTCTGAGGTGTTACCATAAAATGACAGAAGCACACTATATACATCAGAACCTATATATTCAAATGAATGTTGATCTTCAAAAGACACCGTAGGACACCTTCAGTGTTAGCATTGCTCTAAAACAGTATCGTGAGCATTTTGGAAATCATTTTTTTCCTTTTGGAAATGCTTTTATAGTAAAAACTTTCAGCCACATAAGAAAACTAATCTCCTTACTTTGTAGTTTCACCATGAGTTTGAACAAAAATTGTTTTCACCAGATAAGAAACAAATGAATTTGTCTCTTTCCAAAAAGCTGCATTTGGGGGCCGGCCCGGTGGCGCACTGGATGGTGCGCCGCTTGGGTAGCGCGGCGGCGCTCCCGTCAGAGGGTTCGGATCTCACGTACAGACCGGCTCCCGCTCACTGGCTGAGCGAGGCACGGGAGCAACGCCGAGGCTTGCGATCCCGTCGGCGGTCCCCGGTCCGGTACGGGGGCAACACTGAGGGTTGCGATCCGTTGCCGGACACGGAAAAAAAAAAAAAAAGACAAAAAGCTGCATTTGGGGGCCGGCCCGGTGGCGCACTGGATGGTGCGCCGCTTGGGTAGCGCGGCGGCGCTCCCGTCAGAGGGTTCGGATCTCACGTACAGACCGGCTCCCGCTCACTGGCTGAGCGAGGCACGGGAGCAACGCCGAGGCTTGCGATCCCGTCGGCGGTCCCCGGTCCGGTACGGGGGCAACACTGAGGGTTGCGATCCGTTGCCGGACACGGAAAAAAAAAAAAAAAAAGACAAAAAGCTGCATTTGAGAATGTTCGAATGAGAGTGCTCGGGCCTGAAAGTCTCTCAACATTTTAAGCACTGACCCGTTTATTAGATTAACGACCTCAACTCCCATGAATATCTACTTGCACATATCACTGCTAGCATGTTTGTTAAAGTTAAAACAATTTAAAAAGGAAAAATCAGTCACATTACTTGTAGCCACAACACACGTACATGCTTTTTGCTTATTTGAGAAACCAATCTGACCGTCACAATTCCAAATAACAACATGTAGCTACACCCAGCACCCTCTGGCACAGTCACCCACTGGATAAGAGTTGGTCACATGACAAGCAGTGAAGTCAAGTCAGTCTCCTTTACAAAAGTGCCCCTCAATGCTTCTCTTACTGAATTTGAAGAGTCCATCCCAGGACCTGCAGAACTCGCGCCAGGGTTTTGGGATGAGCGGGCGGAGCCATCTGGGGATGGCGCCCGCATACATGGAGGTCTTGAACATGCTGAACATGAGCTCCAGGGCCTCGATGTATTCCACCGTCAGCTGGGGGATGCTGTTTTCCAGGCAGCCCAAACGGCTCTCATAAAGGATGGTGGCCACTCCTAGACGGGAAAGTGAGTTTAAAAGCCGTCTTCTTCTAGATTATTTACCATATCAGTATGCAATAAAAGTAACTTTCAAAAGTGGTTGAGTACCGGCCAGCCACCAAAAAAAAAAAAGCAGTCCCGGTGCCTTTCATGAGTGAGGCATTGTCACTCTTCTCACCTGTGGTTTTCTGTGCGTCCTGAGCTGCAGGGAGTGGGGCACATCGTGCTGACAGATGGCAAGGCCTGACTAGTGCTAGGTAGTGTGAAGGTTGTCAGAACCAACACGAAGTCACCTGTGTCAAACTCTAAGAAAACAGAAAAAAAGAAGGGCCCTCCCTTCTCAGCCTCTGTGCAGACATGCCTATGGTAAGAATTACCACAGAGACTCTCTGAAGGGCTCTTACGCACATATGCCCATAACAAGAACTTTTGTAAGGACCTTTCAAACTGCAGCTTGCTACACTAGTGACAAGCACTGCTAGCTGGATGCACAAGAACAGTTGCCTGATACCGTCTCCGCTAACAGCTGGCTTCAACTCCTGCAATAAGCCCCTGTAACCAATGTTCTCTTTGTTTCAAAACAAATTATGTGTACTTTTCTTTTTTGCCTTTAAAAGCTTCCCCTTGCCTCAACCTCTTTGTACATATATGCCTATGATTCCTACAGCCCGCATATTCCAGATCAGCAAATCCTCTGCACACTCCCAAATAAACTCTTTCTCTTTGGAGAATCTCTCTGTTACTTAGGTTGACAGTACTGTGCACTGTACTGTTACGTCAACATTCATCTGAGTAGCTCCATGAGACACACACTATAAGAAGGAAATGCAAAGACTGAGAGAGTTTAAGGAGCTTGGCTAAGGCTGCACAGGAGGAGGCCATGACAAGACTGAAACTCAGGCCTAAAGGACAAGCCTTTAGGGAGGGTGAGATTTCAGAGCCCTCTGAGATCCTTCTGCCTCATCTCACCCTCCTCTCTACAGTTCGTGGGAATTCTCAGGAAGGTGGAGGCAAAACCCTGATAGAGGGCCTCTTCCTGCCCCTCCTGTCAACTGTGAGTCATCTTTCGGCCACATGCCCAACCTCGAAGGGTTGAAAAGTGGTTCCATGTGGAACCAGGGGAAGCTGAACCCAGCCACAACCAGGTAAAGAGCACACCAAAAACACCATTTCCACGCGGTAGCTCACCATAGCTACCACAACTGCAATGGCTGCCGCAAAAGCAGCTAGTCTCTACAGCAGCAGTCACAGCCACCGTGCAGATGGCATGCCAGACTCAACTTCATTGACACACAGAGAGGCACCAGCGGAGACCAAAAAAAAAAAAAAAACAAAGAAGAGATCTTCTCTCTCCACAAAGCACACTCCAGAGTAATAGAAGCAGCATCTGATTTATAATAATAGGGCAGGACTTAATCACACCTGTCTCAGTACTATACAGATCATCTAGGCAACAAACCAACAGAGGAACAGTTAATCTATCAGATGGAGAGAACAAATCTATGGTTATTAGAGGGGGGAGTGGGAGGGGGAGCAGAAGGGAAAAGAGAAGAGATTGGATAAGGGGTATAAAAAATAAGTACGATTTGTAACAATGAATACGCTAAGAAAATAAATAAATAATATTAAATTTTTAAAAAAATTTTTAAAGTTAAAAAAACAAAAACAAAAACAGAGAAAAGAAAAAGAAAAGTGACTCCACGTGGCCAGAAAGCAGAGCTCAGACCCAGAGAGCTAAAGGAGCAGAGGAAATGACCTCAAAGAATCAGTGAAGTGTTTAAAACTCACTTTACTGGTGATTTTGTTTCTATTTTTAGAGAATATTACTATCAGAACTTTAAAAAGTTAACCTAAGAGTTAAATTTGAAGTAAGGTAAGCTCATTTTACAAAAAAAGGTTGATCCGTTGGTTAGAGCCTGTTGTTATAACACCAAGGTCAAGTGCTTGGTTCCCCTTACCGGCCAGCCGCCACAAATAAATAAATAAATATGAGAACGTCCTCCAAAATATATGTTTAAGTAAAGAGCAAGGTACAGAGCAATATGTTTGGTATGCAACTATTCATTTCTTAAAAATAAAACTAAGGGCCGGCCCGGTGGCGCACTCGGTAGAGTGCGGCACTTGGGAGTGCGGCGGCGCTCCCGCCGAGGGTTCGGATCCCATATAGAGACCGGTCCGCTCACTGGTTGAGCGCGGTGCGGGTGTGACACCGAGGGTTGCAATCCCGTTGCCAGTCACGAAAAAAGACAAAAAGGAAAAAAATAAAAATAATATATGCAGTTCCTCGTATGTGTGTACAACTTGACGGATACATAAGAAACGGGAGAGCTTAGCGGCATTCAGGAAAGAGGGAGAATTTTCACTGAGTACCTTTTGGTTTTGATATTTGAATCATGGGAATGTACTATCCATCCAACATTGATTTGAAAAGCTAGAGTGACTTTGTAGTAGATCCCCTTTAAACATGGTTCCTTTTTTTAAATTATGCCAAGATGTGTTAGGAACATGGATTCTTGAGTTAAACAGACCTGGGTTAGAAACTAACTTTCTGCCTCTGAAAAATAGGGGGTGGCATGTAATCTTGAGCAAGTTCTTTTTTTAAGTCTCGGTTTCCCCATTTGTGAACAGCAGTGACACAGCTGGTTCATGTTAGCTCTGTGGGGATCACACCCATGTGTGTGCTGGGCTTAGCACCGTGCTGGGGGTACAAGACATTCCCAGTGAGTGGTAACTGCTATTTTTGGCAAGTGTCCATCCTTCCATCCTTCCCACCTCCTGACTCCACCTCACTCACCTTCCATTGAATATTTGAAGAAAAGGTCATTGACATTGGTCACAGTTTCTCCATCTTCTGCCTGGCTCCTGAGGATATAGATTCTTTTAATTAAATCCGCAATAACTTGGTTAACTTCTTCAGAAAAAATGGCCACATCTTTTGGTTTCAGAATTCTTTGTCTCAATACACTTCTCATCTTGAGCCACTGTTCACCCTCCCTAGAAGAATAAAATGAGTTTCAAATAATCTTACTTACACTGACTTATTCTGGGAAGGAATTCAAGGAATGTCTGAAAAAAATTTCCAGTATGTAAAAAAAACTTCCAGGCCATAAAGAATCAATAAGATCTGCCAGTCAAAATGGAATCGAGATGGGAAAGACTCTGCTGGGAAGAAGGAGAAATGACTGCAGCCCTGGAGCCTGTCAGAGCTTAAGCTGTTGCCCTGGAAGCAAACTTTAAGAGGAAAATGACCACCAGGAATCATCTTTAGTAAAAGTCATATGATTTTCTTTGAAAAACCTTGAAAGAATATTATAATAAAGACATGAGACTATTGATGAGCAAAAGAGAAAAAAGCGTACAATGTATATATATGTGTGTATATATACATATACATACACATATAAATGACTTAAGCATTAATATTAAAAAAGAGAGAGTGATGCGGCTTGTCACCAGGGCACTGGGGCCTTGGGCTCCCGGCTGCACTTGTGGGTGCACTTGAAGCTGCCCAGTTCCAGCCCTGGAGCAACCCAGGCTGGTGAAGGCGGGACATTGGTGAGGCCCCTGGAGTAGGTCTGAGGAGCCTCTCCAGTTTCCTAGAGGGTCCTGGTAGGACTGAGCCTCGGATGCCCACAAGAGCAGCCCACCCCTCCACACACCCTTTACTGTTCCCTCTACATTGGTGAGGCCCCTGGAGTAGGTCTGAGGAGCCTCTCCAGTTTCCTAGAGGGTCCTGGTGGGACTGAGCCTCGGATGCCCACAAGAGCAGCCCACCCCTCCACACACCCTTTACTGTTCCCTCTCATCCCTGCCTCACTTCCCGACTCCCAAATAAATCACTTGCACACAAAGCCTCGCCTCAGATTCTGCTTTGGAGGACCCATGCTCAGCCAGCCAGTCTCCTGAGCCTGGACGCTCCCCCTCCCTGTGCTAAAGTCACCAGCACCTCCTCGCTCCTCTCAGCAGAAGAGGGTGTCCGGGCACCCACCCAGGCTTTGGAGCCCCTGGTTGGTGGGGCAGAGAACAAAGAGTACTTGCCATAGCCTTCCACCACTCCCACCTCGGGCTGGACATTTAGGAGGAGCTGTTTAATTATTTCCCGCAGGACAGAAATTGAGGGACCCTTGTGACACTGGTCACACTTTCATTCATCTTATCTGAGAAACTGATGGTTGTATTTCTCCCCAGCTCATGTATGCGGACATATACACATCAAATGAGCCGTAAACAGACCCTCCAGCCACAGGATTTGGGCCAGAGGGTCTGCAGACGCTCGTGGTCTCCTCCCTGCCTGGCAGCATACCCATTAGTTCTTAGAAGGCACAGAGGTGTTGGTGAATCTTGCTCAAAATTAATAATCACAGTCTGCTATGAGACGGGAAAACCATCACATGGCGATCAGTGCTGGAGGTGTTTAGCCCTTCCTCAAGGGAATTTTCCCTGGGCCTCCTGAAGTAGCTGACCACCTTCCTTCGCCTGTCCTCAAACAAGGGCTCTGCGAACTTCAGCTCCCTCAGTTGCCACTGAATGACACCTAAAGCCACAAAGCATGCTTGAGAAGAGCATCCCCTAGCAAGTTGACCCACCTCATCCCTGCAGTCAAACCTCTTCACAGAGGAAGGAGAGAGCCCCCACCTGTTCTGCAGCACCTGCGCTTAGGAGATCACACAAGCAGCTACTTGACACTATTGCATTGGGCTTTCTGTGCTTTTTTCAAAGCTGATATTTAAAACCCCAGCATTGGGGGAGGTCCCTCTGAGCTCTCCCTCAGCCCAGGGCTCAGCCTGGCCCACGTACTCACGCTGAGATGAGCCCGGTGGCTCTCCCCCGCAAGCCTCGGTACTCCTGCCAGGACTCCATGTTGGCTCTCTGGGGCGCGGCCCCCTCCGCCCGGAGCACCTGAGCCACCATGTCTCGGTCTGCAATAGATACTACAAACTGAGGACCAAAGTGAGACTTGAAGATTTTTCCATATTCCTGTGTGTGCTTCTGCTGCAATACCAAGGAGAAATCAAAAAAGGAAAAAATACACAGATATGATATACCTTTAACATAAACATTCCTGTGTGTTACAGGAGCAGAAATTTGGGGTGGAGGGAAGCTCTGTATTATACAGAACTGAATCTGAGTAATAACTTTAAATATTCTTGAGATAAATGTATTTTCACCTAATCATATCCATAGATGTCTTTATTCATGAGCAATGTGTTTTAAAATACCTTAGCTGTACGAAGCAACAAGAGAGATGTCATTATGGATGGAGATGAACATTCCAAACCAAACAAGCTCCCCTTTCCCACAGGCCCAGGGCTCCACGTAAGCAGTGCCCAGCCTACTCTGCCGAGTGAGACCTCCGTGGACAATATGTAACAAACCTCTAAAAAATGCCCCCATCAGGGAAATGAGGAAAAAGGCATCTGGATTGGAAAGGGAGAAGTAAAGCTATCTCTATTCACAGATACCATGACCTCACATACAGGAAATCCTAAGGAATCCACTAAAAAACTATTAGAACTAATAAACAAGTTCAGTAAGTTTGTAGGACACAAGATCAATATACAAAAATCAATTGTATTTCTATATACTGGCAATTAAATAATACAGAATGAAATTTAGAAAACAATTCCATTTACAATAGCATCAAAAAGAATAAAATATTTAGAAATAAATTTTACAAAGGAAGTGCAAAACATATACTCTGAAAACTACAAAACATCATTAAAAGAAATTAAAGAAGACCTAAATAAAAAACAAAACATACCATATTCATGGATTGGGAAACTTAATATTGTTAAGATAGAAATACTCCCTGAAGTGATTATAGATTCAGCACAATCTCTGCCAGAATTCCAGCTGGCTTATTTGTAAAAACTGATCTGCTGATCCTTAAATTCATATGAAAATGCAAGGGACCCAGAATAGCCAGAACAATCTTGAAAAAGAACAAAGTTGGAAGAGTCACATTTTCCTATCTCAAAACTTACTACAGGGCCAGCCCAGTGGCGCACTCAGTAGAGTGCGGCGCTTGCGAGCGTGGCGGCGCTCCTGCCAAGGGTTCGATCTCAAAACTTACTACAGGGCCAGCCCAGTGGCGCACTCAGTAGAGTGCGGCGCTTGCGAGGGCGGCGGCGCTCCTGCCAAGGGTTCGGATCCCATATAGAGACCGGTCCGCTCATTGGTTGAGCGCGGTGCAGGTGCGACACCGAGGGTTGCGATCCCGTTGCCGGTCGCGGTACG